TTTTACACATCTAATAGATTTTGAAGATATGCAATATTGAAGATATGCAACATAGAAGAGACATTAAAGGCATAAGCGTTTCTTTCTCAACTAAATATTTATCGCATAATCTTAGATGTCGAATGTGACAAAAAAAAATTTTTTAAAACAAAGAAAGATGGAAGCAAAAGAATAAATTGTCTTTGGAGAAATTATATCAAAACCTCCTGGTTGTCATTCAAACAAATTTAACACCAAACAAACAATCTTAAATTAATATAAGTAATAATTTAAAACCTTGTATAACACGTAATCCAGCTGTTAAATGCAAAAAAAAAAAAAATAGAATTCATGGAAAAAGTTCATGGTGCAAAACTAAACAAATTAATATAGCAACAAAAAAACATTCTTTATCAAAATTTGATAACAATCTATCTGATTTTGTAGGTTTTTTTATACCATATCGTGTTAGAGAAAAAGATTCTCTTGAAGTATCTTGGGAACATCCGCAAGTGGTACAGTTTGATCAATTTAATGCTAAACAAACCACATACCTTGTTAAGTATGATAATTAACCCAGAGTTGTTAACAAGGCCAAAAGTAGCTAGACAAAGATCACATGTTACAGGGCTAAGGCCTAGACCAAGGCCAAAAGTTACAAGGCTAAGGTTAAGAGTTTCAAGGTCAAGGCCAAGGCCTACGCAAACATTTTCAAAAGCAAAGATTTTAAATTTTTTCCTTACATTAAAGCCAATTATTAAAAAAACTGTAGGTAGCAAATGCTGTGACAATAAAACCACATGTTGTAAAAATAGACCAAGGTTATGTGCAGAATTCAACGAAGTAAATGGGAAAATATACTAGTAGATATATCTAAAAGCCGAAAGCAAAAATACATAAAAATAAAGAATGAAAACTTTTAATTCTTTAATTAAATATATATTTTTGAAGGCCAAGGCCAAAACAATCATGGTTAAGGCCAAAACTTTCAAGACTAAGGCCAACAGTTTCAATGCCAAGGCCTTTATTTTTGGCATTAAAGCGAGGCCAAGCACTAAAAACTCTGTATTAACCTGATGAAGTATGTTCATTTCCTTTATTAATTGATTTTGAAAAAGGTGGTCTTATTCTTTGTAGTTAGGATTCTTTGTGGCTAGGAGGTAATTTTATTTAATAAAAATTTAGAATTATTTATTTATTCTTTTCATCACCCAAAATTACAGGTAAAAAATACAGAGGTCATAAAACTAATAGTTTATAGTATAAGTTAAAATTCTAATTTAGATTCTTCTTGAAATGCTTTCTTCCATTAAATTTTTGAATATCATTCTCTGCTCTCTGATGTTCCAGAACTCAAAGAACTGGTTTAAAATTTCTGCTATATTATCTTCTACGTCATCGTTACGACGTTTGATAATGGTTTTTCCCCCTTAATCAAACACTGCATGAAGCTTAGTTCCAGGCGGTTGCAAATTTTCAATATTTTGTAAATAAAGCAGTTTTCCTTATTAACATTAGATATTCGAGTTAAAATTAAGGAAAGACAAGTCGGATTGCTCAGTAATCTGATAAAGAGATTCAATTTATTTTGAATGAGGATGGTAGATACGTCATCGATTTTAAAGTGGGAATGCAGATAGTTTTTGCTGTATTTTGAAATACTAAAGAGAAATTTTAATGCTGATCTTCCAACAGCGTCTAAGTTATTAAGAAAAGTATTGCTATAATCACAAATTTCTAATCCATATGATAGATTTGGTATAGCCAGAGATTTGAACAAATGCACTATAGTTACTGGTTGACAAAAACGAATTCCAGATTTTATAAGAGCTCTGGAGATTGATTGAAATTGAATAATACTTTCGTTTACATTTGCTGATTGGATTGTAGCTATATTTTTTCCATGGCCTTGATTTTCCCATAAGAATCCGAGGTGTTTCAGTTTATTATGTTGTAGTATTTATTTATCTTATTTGTTTTATTATTATGTTCGAATAATTTGTTTTTACTGCATTTGAATACAGTGGCTTTAAATATATTTTTATTTGTTTTATATTTAAAGATATTTTTATATTATAGTATAATATAAAATTAACTACTTTAAAAAGCTAAATTAAAATTTAACTAAATTAAAACTTAAAAAACTTAATTTTTTATATTTTAATTATATATTATGTATATAATTATATATATAAATATATAATATATATATTTTAATATAAATATACTTTTATATTTAAATTTGTAAATTAAATATATATATAATTTATAAATTAAATATATATATTTAAAAATAAATACATTTTTATATTATATATTATATATATAATTATATATATACATATATAATTATATATAATTAAAAATATATAATAATTAAAAAAAAATTTAACTAAATTAAAACTTAAAAAACTAAATTAAAATTTTGCATGATTTAAATCACTTGGTAACCCAGTTTAAATATAAATTTTAGTATAGTCATAACGCAAAGCTTTAAACCCTTCTATCCCTTGCAAAAGTAGTGTTGACTGACATGGTTCCTCATTCGCCACGTGAAGGCTAACTATAGTATTAAAAGCGTCAATAATGCGGTTATTTAGACATTCATTAGACTCAAAAACTTCTTTATCATCTTGTTTTCGATTCTATTTCTGAATCGACCATGCAATTGGTGGGGATGGATCTTCTGAATTTATAACTTCTAATGAAGTTATCACTTGCTTTAAATAAACGTCTTTCAATGAGGCTGGATAGCTCAGTTGGTTGAGCGTTGAACAAAAAGTTTAAACCCGGACAGTTGTAAGATACGAGTTCAAATCCTGCCACCGCCAACTCAGCGCTTAAGTAGTACTTCGGTACGCACAAATGTTGGTCAATAAGGAACGCTACTTTGGATTAGTCTTAATGACTATATGTGGCTATTCCTATGCTAAGCCAACAATATCTTCGGATATAAGAACATTGTATAGAAAAATATAGCATGAAAATTCAAAAAAAAATTAAACTAAATTAAAATGAAACATTAGAAGTTGGTGAAGTAATTGATGCAGGCGGAAACCAAAGTTTTAAGTAGCTATAGCTACTTAAAACTTTGGTTTCCGAATCACGGCTGTTTCAAACCGAGCTTAACGGCTTCTTGTTATTTTTTGAAAGTATTGATTTTAGGGGTGTTACTAAAACTTCTATAACTTTTAAAATATTAAAGATAATTTTGTTTTGTAAAAAGAATAAAAACACCAATGAAATGTTTCATCTTACGACATTTAATGCATTAGTAAAAAAACTTCTTCAAGTTTAAAAAAACCGCGACAAATGATGAAGTTGGCTAAATTCAAGTAATTTGATGTTACTTTTTATCAAAAAAAAAATCAGAAAAATTTATTTCTGATAGTTATTCTCAAATATACCCATTGTTTGACTATTATAAAAACAAAAAAACCTTACTTAATTGTTTAAGGATAGCTAAAACAGACTTTGTTGAGGTCTGAAAGCAAACCGCACTTTTCGCAAAGTTATGAAAAATGTAGTTAAAAGGGGGATTAGCTGTTAAAAGAGTACATTTTTAAACCTAGAAGAAGCAAAATAAAGCCAGATTTCGATTTTGGAATATTTAGTCAAAACATTTAAAGCTTAGGCATTTATTTTTTTCTGTGCATACAGTTCTAATAATATGGTGTTAAGTTGTTAATAAATAAAGACTCACCAAGTCTAATAAAATAATTCATGACCAAATTTGATTTTAAGTTTTTGAATTAACTTCGCTTTTGGTAGTAGAATTATTTTATAGCACTTGAATCTATAGTCTCTTCTCTAAGTAAATAAAGTGTTTGAATATACAAATAGCTAATTGAAATCTTTTGAAAATTTCTTTTTATTCCCATTAAAAACTGTTTTATAATCAGTTGGTTTACTGATAGGTTCTTTAAGTAGTAAACTATCATTGTTCATCCAATTGATATCAGATTCATACTCATGCTAAACCAGAAAAACAATTGCTCCACTCAAAATTTTGATAACGTTTACAAATTCTTAATTTATTGAACTAAATTTTTACACCAACTTGATATGAGATTTATATTCCATTCTTAAACCAGCGAGGAGGTATGTAGAGCAGAGGTACTGCAAAGGTAGAACTAACTTCTGATGATAAACATCGAATGGATATGTAATATATCTATAAAAAAATGTTACATATAATGAAGGACAATACATTTTTTGAATTAAATACACAAACATACAAGATCATACTCAACCAACATACCAGTTGCTCTAATTACAAGTTAGTATATAAAAGCTAGATTTTTACATACATTTGATGCAAGACTAGTATTTCATTCTTTAACCTGAGCGAAGGTATTGCATAGGTATAAATAACTTCTGAAGATAGGAACAGAATGGGCACCTATCTAATATATAAAATCAATATATTAAAAAATAATATTTTAAACTAACATTACACAGATATTAGAACAGAACAAAATTATCTTATATACAAATTAAAGATCTCATATAATTTATCTTACTTGTAAATAGTTTTTTTTTTGTTTTTAATTTTTTAAATATTTAAACTAAATTTGATGACCACAAACAAGACAAAGACCTTGTCTATAAAATGAATTTTCGCCACGCTCAGAACACACAACACACTTTCTCACCTTAGAGGCTTTTATTGCATATTTCTTGCTGTTTACAGGTTATTTTTTTATTGGAGGAGTTTAGAGATAATTCAGAAATATTTTTATTAAAAGCTAACCAACGCGCCTGTAGATTTGCAATGTCTACAAATTGATTTCCTAATAAACGTAAAGCTTCTGCTGTTTTAGAACATTCAACGCTTTTAGCAGCCCACAATTCATTCGTTCTCATATTCTCATTATGCGACAAAGACGAAACAGATTGACAATCTAAAGTCTTACACTCCTTCAACAATAACTTATACAGTTTTAACACAACTCCTAACATAATATGCAAAACAGGTGGTACTACATTATCTAAAGTTATTATGGGGAAAATCACAGGAGCAATAATTGAATTATGAAACTTACCTAAAGTTCTTAGGTTTCCACCTTGTCTATTTTCACACAAGTTCTCATTGTAAGCATTTTCCAGAGATTGTATTGTCCTTCTTAAGATGTTACAATTAGCAGGTGTGAGAGGCATAGAAGCATGGTTTCTTAGAGAATTCAACTTAACTAGGTCTGTAGAACTAGGAAAGCTAGCAGCTGAACCCTGGTGTCCCAGAACATCATCGATAAAATGAAAATCTCCACCTAAGAACAACCTGACTATTTTGCCTTTTAGCTTAAAATCTGACGACTGAATTCTTTTAATATCGTTAGCAAAATGTTTGAAAACTAAGGCTATATTCTCACGACAGTCTGAACCCTGATACATACAAAACAAGTGAACATCGTATACAAACCCTGATGATTTAGAATTGACAATTTCAAAATGGAATTTCATATACTTCCCCACCCTTATCACCAGCAAAAAGGAGCCATACTTCTTCGCCAAAACCGACATCCGAATTAAGGTGGTTGCGTACATAAAGATTAGTAAAAACCTCTTCAATATAAATTGTCAAATTCTTGACCATCAGTACAGATACTAAACAAGGTACTTCATTTGCAGATGGATAAAGTAACATGGACTTCACAGTGACATGTTCTTTATTGACATGCATTGTCCGCATTTCTTGTTCTTGTCTTATCTTGGGCTCAGATGGGAGAATCCTTGCACCAAGATTACACAGAATACATCTTAGTCTACGGAATTCAGCTGTGGGCATCCTTAATTGGCTCTGTAACTCTACAGCATCAGAAACACTTAACTGCTTAACAAAACCCAACTTATTTGCAACACAACAAAATATTGACTTTTCACAAGACATAGAATCACAAAACAACATTGACAAATCACTTTCTAAATCTGAACAAGCTAATAATCGAAGGAATATAAAAGCAAGTTTAGATCGTCTAGCTGCAGCATGCCTACCTAACTTAGAATAAGGTTTACCATTTCCTAACTTAATGTAAGTATTTTTTTACTAACTATTGCCTTTTTAACTGATATGTTCTGTGGATTACTTAATTTAAACCCACAAAATAATTCAGAGGAACCAATGTTGTTGTAGTCTAAATAAGAATCAACCACAACTAAATCCTTATTGCTACTAGCAAAACATTTGCAAATTTGGCAACTGTTCTGGCTTAAATCACTAATTTTTGCAATTTTTTTTTCAATATTAATTTTTTTTTAGCAATCTTACATTTTTGGCACGAGCAGATGCAAATTTACGTTGTGCTGTTTTAATTTTTTTTTTTTTTAAAGTTGGAACTGCTCCTCCTGTTTTAGCCTAATACTCATAGTCTCTAATTGAGAACTTAATGAGTTACAATATGTGTTGAGAGCCCTATTTTTAGAATTTAAATCTATAAATTTAAATTCCAACTTAAATACTTGGATTTTAAATTTTTCTATTTGCTCCATATTTGTTTTATTTTCAGAAGTTAATTGATCAATTTGATTCAGTAGCTCCTGACTGTTATTTTAAAGTGAAAAAGTCATCTGCATCTGCTGATTTTTTTTTTTTTTTTTTTTTTTTTTTTTTGTGGAGCTTGCGACAGTTGCATTTTAAAAAATTCTTCGTTTTTTATAGCTTTAAAATTTTTTTTATATTTCTTTTTTTGGTGTGTTAACTTTAGGCACATTTTATCAAACTTGTCATTACTAGGCATATCAAAATCAATTGACAAAAGAAAACTCATAAAACTAAATAAATCACTTCTTATTTTAAAGACTGTCATTAAAATGGAAATGACATTGTTACTGATCTTATCTGTCCAAATTAATCGCTTAACAAAAAGAAAGTTACACCTATCTTCTTAACCATTTTTCCATCCAATATGTTGTTTTAGAATTTCCCTCTCAGTTGAATACATAGTTATCAAAATAATATTGACTTATTAATCAATATAATAAAAACAAATAAAATAATATTAATTAACAAATATATGCACTAGAGTGGATTTAACAACTTATCTGATATTAGTTTGATAATCCAAAGAGAAAAATTCCGCGTAACTTTGTTTACTTTATACTTCAAAAATTGACTTGCCGAAACAGTTGTTTGGAGAATATTCGTTAATAAATAGTTTGGGACGTAACGCATAAAGGCTACGTCATCGAAAAAAAAACGTCAACACATGTACGCCTTAAACTAACAAGATTAGTTGTAAAACATGACATTTTTGAAAACATATATCATAACATAGCTGAAGGCACAAAAAATAATTTTTTTATTTTCATTTGCATAAAAGGTTGAAATTTCATTAACGTCATCCATCAAAAAAGTTACGTTTTGCATTTCAAAACGATCAATTAAAAAATATAAATGCTTTAAAAACAGTCTTTTTGTAAAAAAAATCTCTAGAATGACGTAGGAATTTCATAGAATGGACATTTAGGGTTAAGTGTTCCAAATTTCAGCTATCAAGCACTGAGCTATGTTATGAAATCTTAGTTGACCCAACTCACGTTTTCCGGAAAATATGCGAAAATTAGAAAAGTGGTTCTAAATTATTAAAAATACTTTGGCAATATTTATTTTTATACCAAATAATGTAAATATTTATTTAACAAGGAAAGATAGATCTTTTATATTTTTTTAACTGCAAGATGAAATCATTTATATAAAAAAGTTACTATTAATTTAAAGTTTGTGAATTTTTATACTTTTTATGCGGAAATACTTTTTTTTTTGATAAACTCATGACGTCATGCTCGTTTTTATATTGAGTGAAACAGCCGTGGCTAGCATTAACAATCTGTTTAATAATTTTTCTTCCAATTTGAAGTCTGTAAACGCCTTTTCCTAATTTGTCTATGATTTTAAAATTACCTGTAAACCGCGCAGCAAGCTTGTCGTCTATTCGTGTGTCACGACGACGGTTGTATTTAAGTACCGTTTTTCCGATTTTATAGGTTGAAGCTGAATGCTTTAGATTCTTTGCCTATTCTCGTGTATTTTGTAGAGATTGTCTAAGGGTAATTACACGTTGAAGTATGTCTTTGTTTTCATAAACAGAAGCCTTGTCTACATCTTTTTCTAAATCTGTTAGAAGACAAGCTTTTACTCCATACATTAGTTGGAAAGGCGAACACTTTTCTGATGCTTGAATATTAAAGCGTTAAGTAAAATCAACTGGATCAACGAATAAGTTCTAATGGACACTTTCTTTGTTTTTTAGCTTGAGTAAATGTCTTACCAAGGTTTGATTAAATCGCTCCGTCAGTCTTGAAATCCAATAACATAAAAATTAGCTTTATAAAAAATTAATATTGTATCATAGAAAAAATATATTCAATATGAATCCCCTCCCATCTTGATGGTTGTGCATACAAAAAAAGAAAAAAAAATTTTCTTGGGTAGATAAAAAAAGGGAGAAAACCATAAAAAACAAATGAAGTTTCTTATTTAAGAAACCGCTTATACTTCAAAATCTAAATTATTTTTGTATTTATTTAGAGATTTTTGTTCTAAGGATTCGATTTTTAGATGTTTTAAAGTTAAAACTCAAATAATCAACTCAAAATTGATATTTCAAATTAATGAGACTGAAAGGTTTTAAGGATTTATTCACCTAAAAATTGAAGTGCTTAACTTCACTTTTATCATGAAATGGTACCATTATGAAATGGTACCATTATGCTCCCTTTTAAAACATTAATTAACTACTTAAATTGAAACCGCAAAAACGACCTAGATTGACATTTAACCAAACAAGGTAGTTTCCTTATTTCGCTGTCAATTTTTATTTATCAAAACATTATTTTTAAAACTTATCATAACATCATTTTTTTAATGTTTTAAATAAGAAATTATATTGACAGTATATCTACCTTTATTGCTCTTGGCTTGTTAATTCCAAGAGGATTAAAAACCAAAAATTAAGATCTATAAAAGTAAAAGGCTGTTTAAATAATAAAATGACATCAAAGAAATATTTTAAGATTTATTTGAAAGAGAATATATTTAATAGTATTGTTAATGTTAAAAAATATAAGCATTATCGCAATCAACATTTTCGAGTTTTTTCCATAGCAAACTTTTCAATGATATTATTTTCAATATATAAAATGGCAAGATGGTTCAAACGATCTTGACAGGTTGTGCTTCTTTGCCATGTTTTCAATGAATTTGCTGAAAGATCTTTCAGCAGATGATGGAGTTACTGAAATATTTCACTAAGTAGATCATCTAACAGATCTTTCTTATATGCATTTACAAGTTTGGCTGCTTTTGAACTGAGCTCTCCATCCTCAAGTTTCTGTAAATTCAAAATGGGTGAGAATAAATCACATGTCGCATTGGCTGCTTCAAATCGTGAGCTCAAATCTTCAATTAAAAAATCCAACACTGGGTAAACTACAAAGGATTTGAAATCTTGATCTGGTTCAGAAGAACAAATTCTTTTTGTAGGAAATTGAGCTTTTATTCCAATAACTTCTGCAATAACTTTTGCCTCATGAACAATACTTTCCCACGAGTCACGTATGTGAGTAATCTCTTTTACTAAATTTTGGATGAGAGTTGTTCCAACATCAAGTGATATTCCTTGGCTTTGTATGACAACGTTTTTATTGTCGAAAGTCGCAAGTATTTTGTGCCAAAAAATAATCATAAGTAGACCTTTATAAAACGAGACGTATTTTTTTAAGCCTTTAGCTGTACTTTGTGCTGAAGGTGTTAGCTCTAAAACAGTTTCCCAAAGAATATCATCTAACACAGAGTGTACGCCGGGATAATGTTTGACAATTGGTCGAATGGCTTGAATTCTTTCACTCCACCTTGTTTCTGAAAGATAACGGTATGTGCTTTTTTAGCAATTCCCATCGTGTAGGACTGTGCGAAAAGAAGCAGTAGAAACTTTCTACACTTCCAAAAAAGGTTATTACATCAGGGTTTACTTTTGCTGCATTGATTTCTACACGGTTTAACGGCTTGGTTATTTGGGCTTGA